GGGAATGGGAACAGTGGGAAAAATGGGAACAGTGGGAAAAATGGGAATGGGAACAGTGGGAATGGGAACAGTGGGGAAAAATGGGAATGGGAACAGTGGGAATGGCCACGCCCGCCTCGCCCTCCACTCCTGCCGTGGGAACAGCGGGAACGGGGGGTGTTTTTCCCACCTGGAACGGCCACCCCGTAGACCACGACATCGGCCTGGTTGAGGAGGCGGCTCAGGGCTCCCTCCACCTCGGTGGTGGAGACGTTCTCGCCGCGCCACCGGAACGTGTCCCCGCCGCGGTCTCGGAAGTACATGTAGCCCAGGTCATCCATCACCAGCACGTCCCCTGGGAACGGCAGGAGCATCCAGGAGATCCCAGAGCAATCCCCACCCCTGTTTCTCCAAGGGGGGAAGGGGGGGATCGTGGAATTGTGGGATTTTGGGATTATGGAATCGTGGGATTATGGAATCATAGAACTGTGGGGTCATGGAATCAGGGAATCATAGAATCATGGGATCATGGAATCACAGAATCACGAAATCATGGAATTATAGAATCGTGGGGTCATAGAATCATGGGATCATGGGATCATGGAATCGTAGAATCATGGAATCATGGAATCGTGGAACAATGGAATCGTGGAATCATGGAATCAGGGAATCATGGGATCACGGAATCGTACAATCATGGAATCATGGAATCGTGGAACAATAGAATCATGGGATCATGGAATCATGGAATCGTGGAATCGTGGAATTATGGAATTGTAGAATCATGGAATTATAGAATCATGGAATTGTGGAATCATAGAATCATGGAATCATGGAATTATAGAATCATGGAATCATTGAATCATGGAATCACAGAATCATGGAATAATAGAATCATGGAATCATTGAATCATGGAATCACAGAATCATGGAATAATAGAATCATAGAATCACAGAATCATGGAATTATAGAATCATGGAACCACAGAATCATGGAATTGTGGAATCATGGAATCACAGAATCACAGAATCATGGAATCATGGAATCATGGAACCATGGAACCACGGCAACACAGAATCATGAAATTGTGGAATCACAGAATCACGGAATCATGGAATCATGGAATCACAGAATCATGGAATCACAGAATCACGGAATCACGGAATCACGGAATCATGGAATCACAGAACCATGGAATCACAGAATCACGGAATCATGGAATCATGGAATCACGGAACCGTGGAATCCCAGAATTAACCCTGGGGGGGGCTGGGGACGGAGCGGCCGGAGAGCAGCCAGGCAGGACCCGGCACTCGGGCCTGGCTGAACCTCGTCCCCTCGGAATCGGCCCCCGGATCCGGCCCGTCCAGGTGCCGATCCCGGCTTTGGGGGGTACCTGAGAGGTAGGCCTGGTCCCCCTTGCGCAGCACGTCGTGGGCGATCTTCTTGCTGGTGGCGCTCTCGCTGACGTAGCCGTCGAAGCGCCGCAGAGGGTCCCGCTGGTCGATCTGCCCCACCAGCAGCCCCGGCTCTCCTGGGGGGCACCCACGGGAAGATGGGACCCCAAAATTGCCCGGGGAACCCGGATCCCAAAATTGCCCGGGGAACCGTGACCCCAAAATTACCCAGGGAGCCGTGATCCCAAAATTGCCCGGGGAGCTCTGATCCCAAAATTGCCTGGGGAGCTGTGACCCCAAAATTGCTCGGGGAGCTGTGACCCCAAAATTGCCCAGGGAGCTGTGATCCCAAAATTGCCCAGGGAGCTGTGA